TCAATTCTATAAAAGTTTAATCCCCTTTTCCAAAATTTTAACAACAAATATCAACACAAAAAAGATCTCGTACGCCCCGCAAACATGATTTGGCCTGCAACTCTAGTATTCGCTTCAATGTACACCACGCTACATGGCAACGCAAAAGAAACCCAAGACAAACTACGGTTCTTTGTGATCGCGTTTTCATGTATTTTCGTGTGGCAGTTTGTCCCTCAGTACATGTTCACCTGGCTGACGAGCATGGCGTTACTGTGTTTGGCTGCACCAGCTAACGCGACGATTAAAAAGTTGGGAAGTGGATATCATGGTGTTGGGATTCTGAACTTTTCGTTGGATTGGAATGCTATCGGGCAATCGGGACCTTTGTTTACTCCCTGGTATTTATGATACATTTTAGTAAGGTTATTTGCGTTTGCGTGCTAATCAACATTATTTTTATAGGTTTGCAAGTGTAAATTTCTATGTTGGCGTGTTTCTAGGCGCATGGATTATTGCACCTCTATTATATTTTAATAATGTCTTGTAAGTCATTGATTAAAGTTTATTTGTTCCTTTTTTAATCCATCTAATTTACCTTCAACTTTTTGTATAAAGTGAGGCCAAGAAGTTTCCTTTCACTTCAACACATCCATTCGATAAAAATGGGCACAGGTAATGACTACATACATGTATAATTACATAACTATTCGATCGTTTCACAAAAATTTATCGCGTCATATCTCAATAATCTCAAAAATAAAGATACAATCAAACGGCCGTAATAGATCCAACCACAGGTTCCTTGAACATAACAGCCTACGAACAAATAGGACCAGTCTACCTGTCTGTAACGTTTGCTGCTGGATACTTTTGGTCATTTATCGGACTCACGGCGGCATTGAGTCATGTGGTTTTATTCTACGGCGATGAAATATGGACGCGGTTTAAAGCTAGTAGGTCAGAAGAGAAAGAAGATATACATACAAAGATGATGAGAGTTTATCCAGGTATAATATTCTTTCTTGGTTATTTTGGTGAAATAGATTTTTTTTTTTTGATATTCTTTTTGATCGTTGAAAATGGAATTTTGTTGACCAGAAATCCCTAATTTGTGGCATGGTATAATATTCGTCTCTATGCTTATTATTTCAATCATTCTTGGATATATTACTGAGGCAAATTTACCGTGGTGGGGATTGTTGTTGGCGGTTGCGTTGGCTTGTATCATGGTATTACCTATTGGTTAGTACATCTGTATTTATTCAGTTTTCGTTTGGATATAAGTCTCATGCGCGCGCGCTGTTTCTTTAATAGGTGTAATTCAAGCTATTTCAAACAACCAAGTGGGACTAAACGTTATCACAGAAATGATATGCGGGTATTTATATATTGCTAATGTCTATTTTGTAAATTTAACTAACGAAAAACTATAACGCGAAAAAGATACGTGCTTCCTGGTCGACCAATCGCAAACGTATATTTTAAATGCTACGGGTACATGGCAATGAACCAGTGTCTTTTGCTTGTGTCAGATCTAAAGCTCGGTGAGTCATATTTATTGACTGTGGTCCGATGAATGCTTTTTTCTAATCTATTTCCATAAGGCCATTACATGAAAATCCCACCAAGGTCGATGTTTATCTCACAATTATGGGGAACGACCGTAGGCTGTTTCGTTAACTTCTGGGTCTTGAAAATGATTATAGTTTCGAAAAGACCTTTTTTGGATGGGACCTTACGCGATCCGACTGGACAGGTATAATATGAATTTGTGATTTGCACGGTGATGAGTTTGTAATCACTAAATGGAACTTTTATTTTATTCGAGATTAGTGGACTGGTTACGCGTCGCAAATATTCAACACTGCATCAATTGTGTGGGGACTAATTGGACCAGCTCGAACATTCGGTAAATCAACCTTAAAATAAAATCACGATATTACTAGTCATTAAATCACATATTCAATTTCTAATTTCTAAAAAAAAAAGGAGCCGATTCACTCTATCGTCCACTCCTTTGGGGCTTTCTAATCGGCATATTCGCCCCATTCCCATTCTATTTACTCCACCGAAAATACCCAAAGTCTCAATTCAATCTCGTCAACGTCCCCTTAATTTGCTTTGGTTTGAGCATTCTCCCGGGAGCGTACACGAATTTCATCATAATGGGATTTATTACCTCGTTTTTGAGCCAATATTATGGAATTCGGTATCGTCATAGATGGTGGAAAAAGTTTGTATTTGTTTTGTTTTGATTGTTTGTTTCGGATCGATCAGAGGTCGAAAGGGGTAATTAATTTAAATAAATCTTTTAAGGTATAACTATGTGCTTTCGGCTGCGTTGGATAGCGGAACGCAGATCGTCACTATGGTCATTTTCTTCTGTTTGAATGGAGTCAATAAGGTATTTTATCTTCTTTCTTTCGAAGAGAGGCTTATCGGGCTAAATCATTATCGTTAATAATGTAGGTTCCCTTTCCGGAATGGTGGGGCAACAACCGTGAATCACAAGGTGAACGTTGTTTTGCACCCGAACAAACATAAATGGTTTATTTCGTGTATCTACCGATCGTTTCTTTCTCTCTTTTGAATCGAGGGTATGATCATAAGTTTAAACAATGCTTATTATGTAAAAGAATAATCTAATATATCCTGTAGATAGTTGACAATAATTTTTAATAATAACGATAAAAATTTATATAAAATATATACATGTAGTGATTGTTTTATGTGTTTCACAAGTGAATATTAGAAATGAGTTATAAGCAAAATTTAATTGAAAATATTTCTTATCATTCTCATAACTTTTATTCTGGTCATTTTTTCAATAATATTATAAGAATAATGAATATATCCGCGTAAATACAAAGAAATTGAAATCACTTTTTTGGTTCATGTTAAGATCAGTTACTGTCAATTCTCCAGATCTGTTTTGCTTCATCAAAATGCTGAATTAAAAAAAAATCAATGAAAAACTTACTATATAGTTTTACCTTCGTATGAAAAAGCAAATGGACACTTGTAGAATCTTAATATTCGATATATATGTACATGTATATGTAACTTAATAAGAATAAATCTACTGCCATACTCAATGGAATATCAAGTAACAATTAACATTTTAACGATAATCGAGTGCATTAAACACCTGACATCGATACTGTAGTAACATTAAGTCCCCGTAATTTTATGATACGAATATCTAACACTATTTCGTAATTTTATTTTTTTATTTTATTGCCCCTTATTAATTTTGTTTATTATGTCTTTCGATGTTTAATTAATTTCTTAAGAAACATACTGTTTAGCATTTTGTATCGATGTTTCTTGAATTCACATCCTTGTCTCTTTAATACCTCTTTATTGTTTAAATTTTCTTCGATCGTATTTTACGGGAACGTTAGTGTAGAGTTATTCCTTTATTAGATAGTATAGATATAGAATTAGTATTGATTAGTGCTCCGAACGATCGAATCAACCCGGGTTATTTAACCCGACCCGAGTTTTAAATCGAGTCGGGTTTATTAATAAACAACACGAGTCC